CAAAATAATTTAATATTTTTATTTTAATGAAACACATGCAAGATTGCAAGTTCTTTTCATACAATGCTCTCGCTACTGCCATCAAGAATGAGTTCAATAATGCTTCAAATGTTAATGTTATCTTTAACAAGAAGTTTGTGAAAGAATCTAAGTTTGGTCAGTATGTCAGACCATTAGCTATCGTCATTGACCGCAAACGTTATACTTCACAAGAGTTAGCAGTAGTTTTGAAACAAAAGAGTTTTTTCGTGAATGTCAAAGATACTCATTATACTGTCATAAAGAACTCTAATATTGACTTCTTCAGTATTGCTTTAAATCTTTCCGAACAGAAAGAATATAAGAAGGGTGAAACATTTGTGAAATATTATCCTTCATCTCTGAAGACAATAACGAACAAAGATGTTATACAGAAATTCTTACCAAAGGTTGAAGAAGCTTCTATTGACATTGACGAAGGAAGTGAAATGGTTGAAGAAATAGACCCTGAAGCTTTATAAGAAAATATATTTTGAAGAACTGAAGGTGTCACTACGTCACCAGGTTAATTAACTTCTCTTAAAATTACTGACAACATGACATTTAGACAACAGCAAAGGAGGAAGGCATTTATGAAATATTTTTGTATAAAATTCCAAACAGTCAGTCAGTCGTCATTGACTGACTGTAAAAAATAATTTCAAAGCATTGAACAAAAAATTATTTTTGTTTATTCTTCCTCTTTGAAGTTGTCGAAATATTCTGTTATTTTTTCCTTCAGTAATGGTAAGTCTTCTTTGAATGTAAGTATTGTACAACCTTTAATATCATAATGTGTTTGAGGTAACGTATCTTGGACTATTTGTTTCACATCTTCATTTGGGGTCATTGAAATCGGTAAGTTTTCACGATAGAACCAGTTTCTGTCAGATTTATATATTTTAGCTAAGTCATAAAAGCTCTTGTTGTTTCTTCTGACTAAATGCAACATAACCATGTCACTGTCTTCTTCATTTTCCATCTCTTCAGTATATATCAGATACTTATAACTCTTTTCCTTTCCTTTTGGTACTGAACGCGGTATTCTTTTCTGTATGCTTTTGTCTTTGGATTCAAGCTTGTTTTCCATCTCTTTTCTCATTTCTGTATGTAAATCGTCAAGAAGTTTGTAAATATTCCAAGCATAACGTGGTGAAGCCCACATTGCAACAGCATTTACAAGAAGTCTATGTACATAATATCCTCTCAAACCGTTTGGCAATTTTTCACGATTTTCATAGAGTTTTGGCGACTGGGGTTTTTCTCCCACTCGAGTTTTTGCGACTACGGGATTTCTCGTAGTCGAATTTTCAGCTTCATTTAATAGTTCAATAGTGCTTTGGTTCCTAAACCAGTCTTGTGGTTTCTTATTGTCGGGTGCAAAACATGCTGTCAAAATACTTTGCATTTGGTACATGTCGTCTTTGACTGAACGAATGAGACGTAACTGTTTGTTATACTGTATGTACTCGTATTCTTCATTTATAGCTTTATGGACTATAACTGTTGTTGTGTTCTCTGATGTTGACATTACTGTCTTTACATACAAAATAAAAAAATAAATAAAAATAAAACTAACTTTATTTTTCTAACTAATGAAATTCATTATTTTTGCTGAATTCAATAAAAATATATTTTAGGGTAGAAGGTTAGATCTAACCCGATATCTAACCTCATTTCTACCCTCATGAATTTTCATGAATTTTATATATTAATGTTTTCGTTAAGCCACTTTGTGCCATCAGTCAGTCAGTTAATGAAATTTACACCAAAAATAATTTTTAGGGTAGATGGTTAGATCTAACCCGATTTCTAACCTCATTTCTACCCCAGTTATTTTATAACCGTTTTACATGGTAAACGTTATGAATTCGTGAGACTCTAAACAGTTTTGTAGCTTCTATTTCTTCGCTGAGGATATCAAAAATTTTAACAATGCCGAAAGTTTCTTTATACTTCTTCTTGACGTCAGATAGAAGGAAATCGTCAGCAGTTGGATAGTTTTTGTTCAGAAATGCTAACATGTCCATTTTATTTTCTACCGGCTTCTCTGCCTCCCTCTTTAAATCTGCATAGTTGTTTCTCATACGTTCTATCTCTTTTACTGAATAGTTATATTTCCTAATTGCTGCTTTACATTTTGAACATTGCGGATTCATTTTTGCGTTATATTCTGAAACCTTACCTGCTAAAACAACTAAGGCGTCAATGGTTTTCTTTAAATCTGAAGCAGTTGGTTTTATCTGTTCATGCCATACCTTACCTCTTCTGTCTTTATCTCTTATCTGCCATACACATTTTGCAACTAATGAAACAAAGTTGTCGTATGTCTTAAACTCCCCCGATTTATATATGTCAGAGATGTTCTTATATACCATGTCGCAATCTTTGTCCATAACTTTATGGTTGCAATGATATCCTAGAAACTCATAATTTACTTTACGTATGAATTTCTTTATTTCTACTGAGTCAGTTGGTTTCACTTCTATTTCATCGAATTCAGGAATAGTGAGCTTTTGTTGTTGGATTTCAGGCAATTTGGGTAAATGGTCAATAATGTCCTGCATGTCATAAAGATATTCTTCATTTTCTTCATCCTGTGCGGTACAGTCTAAATTACTTGTTAAAAGTTCTTGCTTTATCTTCTGGATTTCTGTTTCGAAAGTAAATGAAGAAGGAATAAAGCTTTTCATCTCTACCAACATTGACGTAGGATTCATGACTAACGAGTTTGGTGCTGTAGTTGTGGACAGAGTCCCGCCGTTCGTGGCTTGAATTGTTGTTGTGCCGATTGTTGAAATCATATCTTTTATACAAAATAAAAAAAATAAATAAAAATAAAACTAACTTTATTTTTTCTGTCTTAAGGAAATTCATGAAAATTCGTGAGGGTAGAAAAGAGGTTAGTTATCGGGTTAGATCTAACCATCTACCTTAAACATTATTTTTGGTGAATTCAGCAAAAATAATGAGTTCATTTACTCACAATATTTTTGGGCAAAACGACCCCAAACTTTTAACTTCTTTTCTGCAGTTTCTAATGCTATCTTAGCGAGTTCATATTCTCTAAATTCTCTCTTTAAATCTTCTTGTTCCCATTGGTCTAGTTCGTATGGAGAATCTCTATAACCATAACATATCTCACGTTCATGTTCTAATTGTTTTTCGCACATTTTTCTAACTTCTTCTTCAAACAAATGTTTAGCATTCTCTACTGTATCTTCGAGTTCTTCTTCATCTAACTTCTCATGAACTTTCTTGTCTATGGAGTCCATAATATCTTTGACATAAAATGCATACTTTACAGAGCACCATTCAGCAACAAAATGAACGAGGTCAGGATGTATGTAAATACCTTTGAATTCATTTATAACACCCTTAGTAAGCTCATAAAATGCTTGTTTTGAGGTTGAGCCACTTTTGGCTCGACCGTATTCTTTCAACCAAAACTCAAGAATTTCCTGCATTTTAGCACTATTGAGAAATCTGTTTAAATGGTTTAACCTTCCCGCTTCTTTTGCCATCTTTGTTGCATTAATGTAACCATCCTTGTCTCTACGTAAGACTTCAATACCGTTATAAGTGCCTTTTGTGAATGTTTCGCCATTAGATTTGTTCGTGAATGTTTTTGCTTCGACTGACATTTCTGTTCTTACATACAAAATAAAAAAATAAATAAAAATAAAACTAACTTTATTTTTTCTATCTTAAGGAAATTCATGAAAATTCATGAGGGTAGAAATGAGGTTAGATCTAACCTTCTACCCTAAAAATTATTTTTGGTGTAAATAAATGGTACCATTAATGATATCATGACTGTTCTCGTTCATGTCTGATTTACATCTAATGAAAAAGTTTAGAAGAATTTTCTTATTCTTTCTGGCTTATTTTTGTCTTTCCAGTACTCCCGCTCTAATGGTCCCAGATGTGTTGGCTTCGACTCTCTCAAGTTCTTAGATGGTATAACATCTTCAACGCCTCCTTCATATCTTACTTTATAAGTGTCATCGTTTATGTTATAGCCAAGTATTTCAATAACCACTCCTCGCTTTGCTTCGTCAATGGTTTCAGCAAGTTTGCCATTACTACTTTCGACTAATTTATGACGAGGATAAAACGCAATAGAGTCGTCGGCAGCTTTTATAAGATATCCATTACCTTGCGTAGAGTCTACGATATAATAGTTTCTACTTAACCTTAAATGTTTCTTTGTCAACGGTTTGTCGTCAAGAACTACACGAACTTTTGTTCCAGGAATGAGAGTAAATTGTGTTGAATTTCTGATATTTTGTGTTTGACTTCGTTTCTTTTGTATATACTTTTCTTCTTGTTGTTGTGTCATTGAATTTGGTGTATGTCCTGTTGTAGAATGTGTTGAGGAATTATATACTTCGAGAAAATGTTTCATTGTTTCTTCGGTAAAGTCTCGCTCTTGATTTAAATCTCTGAGCGTTCTTATGAAGCGGTTTATGATGCCGAGTATGTTATGGTTATGGTCTTCAGTAGTGTAGTGAGTTATGTTATGCTTAATGAGAAAATCTGTGATTTCATTGCTGAGGTATGCACTGTCTTGGTCTGATGTTAAAGTACTTGGGCTATGTTCTGCTACAAACTTTTGTAAAACTCTTAACACTTCACGAGTTCCTTTATTCCTCATTGGATATGCATATGCTTTGCGAGTGTTAACATTAATGAAGATGAGGAATGGTGGCTTTCTTCCTTTCTTACTCTGAACGAGAGTGTCAAATTGGTATGCGTCAGGAGTGTTGGAGTAAATTGGTAAAAAGTAGTCGTAAGGGTTTATTTTTATTTGATGTACAACATTTTTGTCAAAGAACCTTTTCACTTCAGCTCTGTTAGTAAATCCCCAACTCTTTGCAGCTTCATTGAACTTCTTAAATGACCTCCATGGATGTTGTTCGAATACTTCTTTCAAGCTCATTTATGTAAAGTTAAAGATTTTATTCTAGGCTCAAGCGCGTTCATTGAACGCGGTACCATGCGAATACAGTCACAAATGGTGGCATATAATCTTCACCCGAGCCTGTTGGATTTGTTGTGAAAGTGTGTGAATGATTTCCTCCTGGTTCAGTTGGTCGAAAAATCTTTTTTGCTGAATTGTTATAAGATGGAGATAAAACATCATTGCCAGCTTCATACTCTGAGTTGTATAATGGGTGGTCTCTTAATGAGTGGCTATGGTCGCCAGAAAAGTTTGTCGTTCCTGTGTGAGTGTGCGGTGGAAGGTTTGCTTCTTTAATTTTCTTCGAACCTCCTGTTTGCTTTGAATATCTAGCACAGTATAAGAATTTATCTACAATCTGCTTCCACGTACCAAAACCTAAAACTGTTGCTGGATTTGTTGAGTTCATTGACGTATAAATAGAGTCTGTAGGATATAATGTTTGAAGTATTTCAATCTTTAATGTTTGAAGCTCTGTTTTGTCAGCTTTCTTATCATATAAATCTTGAGCAGTGAATTTAACATTATTTTCATCATCCATGACATAAACATTTTTACAGCTAATTTCTTTCTTCGTTGTTATGTTTTCATTCGATGTTAAACCTTGTAGAAAGTTAGGAGGTTTATAATATAATGCATCCCCACCAGTTCCGCCAACCGTTCCTTCAATACTTTCTATAGCAACAGTTGAGAAGGAGTTATGTGTATGTTCTTTGTCTGCTTTCTTATCTAACATTGCTGGTAGTTCATATGCTTCAAAGTTTCTGACATGACCTTCGATATTCATACATTTGTTATTTAAGGAGTTTAGTGTATCTTTTACGCTTGTACTTGGATTCTCTAAAGGTGCACTTGAACCAAGGGTATAGTTCAATATTATGTCGTCTGCTCTAACAGTAGTGAAGGATTCATGTGTATGGTTCTTGTCAGCTTTACTATTTAATGTAGCTTGAAGTTCATTTATATCGGAGATATTGTGTTTATGAGATTTCAAAACTTTGTTCGTTGCGTCAAGTTCATCTTTGTCAGCTTTACTTTTAATAGCATCTTCAAAAGTTATTTTTGCCTTAACTCTCAAAGTAAATCTTGGTTCAACTAATACACCGTTAACAAAGAAACTAGAGGCATAAATTTCATCGTTATAACCAAATACTTCTGGTGCTTTACCTGTGTCATACTGTACAGTACAGTGTATGTCATAACCTTTAACACGAATGTATTTATATCTTCTTTCATTAACATCTTTTGTCTTCACTTTTTCATCCTGTGTTAAATATCCATGGTAGTCCGTTATAATCTGTTCATCTGAACTTATATAATGAACATGGTTTTTATCTGCTTTTTCGGCTAATTTCTCTTCTATCTCATTTATTTCAAGTTCATACCTACCACTACCTCCCAAAGAAGTATTTTTCTTCAGCTCTTGAAGAACGTCCACTTCGCCATCTTTGGTGTCAATAATGAGACTTTGAGTTAAAACCTTTCCTGTCTTAATGGATGTTTGTAAAACTTCTTCTTCACCGTGTTCGGGGTCATGGTCGTCATCATATCTTGTGAAATCAGAGATGTTGTCATACATTAAGCATATCTGTCTCAAAAGTTCTGCTATTTGAAACTGGAACGAAAGATATACAGAATTTTCATCATCTCCTAAAGTCAAGTCTGCTTTCTTAAGTATTTCTTGAATGTATGCAATGAGAACAGAGTACCTTGGAAAATATTCGAACAATATTTCATTAGCTGTTGGTTTTGGTGGTTCTTCTGGAGTTTCTGTTGTTTTAGTTCCTTCTGTAGGTTCTGTTGGAGTTTCTGCATCTCTTGACTTCAATGCTCTTGCTCTCAAAGACCTAAATGTTAGAGCACCGGGTTTTACAAAGGACTTTATAAATGCTTTAATAGTTCCTGGTAAGTTATTGTTAGCATTAAGTAAGTTCCTTATGCTTCCATCATGTACGTCCATAGCACTATGTAAAAAATCTATACTTTTCTTGTAGTCAGCAATAGACTGACTGTGATTTTTTAAAGATTTGTCAATACCTTTAAGCCAATCTTCATGCATGTCTGATACTAATATCATTTGCTTCCTTTAGTGTATTTTGTGCTTCTCGTAAAGTATCCAATCCCGTAGGTGCATTGTTTGCTATACGTCTTACAGTATCTATTTGACTCCTTGTTTCTTGCATCCAACCAGATAAAGTTTTAATAGTATCCGAACCATTTGAAATGAAGTTCAAAGCATTTTTAACGTCATCTAAAGCTTCTTCACCAAGTACTGCCCATATCTTTCCGATTTGGTATTGAAGAACTCCATATGAAGCAGCTGTTAAACCAGTATTTATAAGGTTCCATATCCATGATTTAGCAGTTTTTCCATCCTTTCCATCTTCACCATCCAAACCGTTTTCGCCTTGAGGTCCTTGTATTCCTTGTATTCCTTGTATTCCTTGTGGTCCTTGAGGTCCGGTGTCACCCTTCTCTCCTTTCAGTTCATCTTTATGTTCGTTATAATATTCTAATGTCATAAGGTGTACATCATTACTGCTACCAGCAACGCCGAGAATTTGTTTCTCATTCATGACTAAATTCTTTAGGCATTTAATGTTGTCGTCAAATCGAAAGCTCTTTAACAATTCAATGAGAACATTTAATACTTTCACTAATGAGGCATCTACTGTAGAATTTATATATTGCACCGTTCCATCATTTATGATAGGAACTTTACTTATTGTAATGAATGGGTCATACGTGTTAAAAGTATCGAAATCAATGACTTTTTTAGTTTTTCCATCGTCAATGACTAAATTGTTACCTTCCACTGTTAAAGTTGAGTTTTCGTTTACTAGTTCATGTGCTCTTCTTGCTTCATTTGTTTCATACGCATATGCAGCAATAGTCATATTTTAATGAGAATAAAATGTTGTTCTATTTGCAAAGTACAGACCCAAACGAATACGAGACAGTAAAGCTACAAACAAACTTAGGTCTTCAGAATGAAGCGCTTGCTTTCAGAGTTGTTGACTTCAATACTATCGCAACTTTTGTCATAACAGATGAAACAGATTTCATGGAGATTGAAATAGATGGAAAGAAGCACGAAATAAGATTTCACAATAATGTAGAATATAAGATGGAAACATTAGCTGGAGTGTTAAATGCTCTCATAAATACTACAATAAACAAGGATAACGAAGAAAACTTAATGAATGTTAAACTTATTGCAGGAGTTTTGAAGTTCAGTTATGCGAAGGAGTTTAAGATACCAAGAATGAGTCATAGAGTTCAATTGCTTCTGGGAGCATACCATATGACATTTCCTTTGAAAAGTGTTGACAAAACGATTGAGATGAAATCTGTTCCATACGTATGTTATGGTAATTGTTTGTACATTGAGTCAAAAATAGCTAATGTCACAGGCATTTCAGGAGTTAATAGTAAAGGTTCAGTAGAATATAAATCCTTCTGTTATGCAGTCAATTCAATGTTCATTCCAAACGTTCCTGTCATAGCAACTCATTTAGGTAAATGGGTTCGCATTAGTCCTCATAATTTGAAAGACATGCAATTCAGACTTGTTGACTTTCAAGGAGAGCCTGTAGAACTGAAGGCACCAGTGCGAATGACTGTTGAAGTTGACTTTTTAGAAAATATTAAATGCAACAGCTTACAAGAGAACTCAGAGCTAAAAATATAAAGTATGAATGTTATGTATTAGGTCATGAACTTTGGTTGTTGCTGTTTGATGAAACAAATGAGTTAGTTATGTCAGTCAAGAGAACAGAAAAATATTGTGTTAGTGAAAACTGCACCAAGTCAATAAGATTAGGTTTGCATTATGAAGATGAGTTCGATACTGTTGAAGAAGTTTTGGATAGATATTACAAATTGCTAACTTGAAATTTTTTGACTGACGGCGCAAAGCGCCAAGACCGAAGGTCCTGACTGCTTTAATTTACTAAAACATATTTCAAACAAAGCTTATATTCTGTTGAAAGTTTTGTATATTCATTCGAATATTTATACTTAAACTCAACTCCTGTAGTTCCTGGTGTTTCAATGATGCGGATGTTACCTATTTTCATGAATAATGGAGTTTGACCACAGCATTCGATTTCAGGGTCGAGATAGTCAATGACACATTGTTTCCCTGTTATTCGTGAGATAACATTTTCAAGGTCCTCCTTTGTTAGAATTATTTGGTTCTTGCTTATAAGATTTGTCAAAAGCTTCTTATCGTCTTTGAGTAAAATTGTTTGGTATAACTGAAGAAGGTAATGGTCTACGTTATCTGAAGGATTTGTTTGAACATTTGTGTAAGGGTTGTCGTTGGCTTCTCTTGAAAGAACTTGGTCCAGTGGTGGATACTCTAACTTAACATCTGATGTAGCGTTAGCGTTTGAAGCTGTGTTTAAATTCACCGACTTAAGTTCTGGTTCTTTTTCTTTCAAACACTCCGAACTATAGTTCTTTATGACAATATTGTTTGTCGTTCGTGAGTCAACATTTGATGTTGGTTCAATTGGAATATTAACGGCACCAGCTAAGATGGATTTGCTTCTCATTTCATATAGAATAAAAACCTTTTATATGTATGAAATGAACAATATACTCGACAAGGGTTTGAATGTAAAGCTAACGAATGAAAATATTGTTGAATTCACTGAGACAGGTGCTGTGTATAAAGATGTAGAACTACTGAACAAAAGAGCTAAGGGAAGAAGCAGGAACATGAACAAAGGGTGGAAGCCTATAAAAATTTATGTCAATGATGGCTCAGGAGGTTCAAACATAAAGTATGCAGAAAGTTATAGAGTTTATGCTCTCAAAGGTGAAAAGCCTTCATTTAAGAACAGCTATTCTAACGCATATCCTCAAAAGCTAACGGATGGGGAAGTGGATGATATGAATGACAGCAAAAATATTAACAGAAATAGCGACAGAGATGCATGGAATTTGTTTACCATCAGTCAATTGAAGGTTAAACTTTAAAACAATGTTGGTCGTTCCCATGGAATATTTTTGACTTTAATGGTATTAGTCATGATATGAATCTCAAGGTATGAACGAGGAGAGATGAGAGACTTATATGCTTCCCAAATTTCTTCAAAAGGTAATGTTATACCTGACTGTTTCCAAATGAGTTCAATATCATAGCGTGAGAAACCTTGAAAGATAACGAAGTCAGTTATGAGACGTTTTATGTTTAAAGCTAAAAACCTCCATGTTTGCATAAGTATTGCTACAGTTAAATGGTAATGTCTGATTTTAGTAATGATGTTAGCTAATGGTGAGTCTGGTTTTGACACTAAACCTTTTCCGGCGAAGTCGTCACAAACTAATAAAGTGTTTGATGGATATTTTTTGAAGGGGTATTTTGAAAGTTTTGACAGAATGTAGTTTGTAAGTCGTTTCATATCGTAAACTCCTGAGTACTGACGTAAGTGGTGTTTGTCAATAATTCTTTCCATCTCCTCAGAAGTCTTTTGCATTCCTGACTGTATAAATTCAACGATGACATAATATTTTCTCTTACGTCGAATGTAACGTTGAAGAAATTCAATGAGTTCACTGTCTGGAACTTTAACGACAGAGGCTTGAACTTTTGACATAAATGTTTTCGCTGTTGAGTCCATAGAGTCTGAAGTTGCTGATATAATGATTTGGTCATAATATGAGTCATTTCCTAAACGTTCTGTTATAAGAATATGACGAATGAGATTAAATGTCTTTCCTGACCCCATCTTTCCACAATAGAAATACACACCATTTGAACAGAATTCATAATCTTTGCTGAAAGGAAGAATAAGAGAAGAGTTAAGTTTGTCTGTAGTTTCATTCATGTCTTCATCTACATCATGTATTAAATGCTTCATTTTATCTCCATTAAAAATGCAAGTCAGAAATATTCAGAACATAGCACCGAGTCTAACTGACAAGAGTATAAAGATATACTATGAACACGTTATGATGAAACCTACCAAAATTCAAGAAAGTCAGTATACTTATGAATATCCAAGACACTGGGTAGAGTATGTAGGAGGTGAGAAAGCTATTGAAATCAGACAGGTTCGAAGTATTCCAGCAGGAAGAACAATATTATTGAAGAACTTTAATGTTTTGAGGTATAATGATGAAACAAAGAAGCAAGATAGTTTTCCTGTTGCTGTGTATGTGAACCTAGACACAGGAGATGACATGAAAGTTTTTAATACAAAGCTTCAAACGGTAGTGAGAGAACAACTGACTGCGGAAGGACATCCATTACCTTCAGAAGTTACCATAGCATATAATTTTGAAACAAACTCAATAGATTTTAAAGTCATCTCTGCAAAGAAGTCAGGTTTTATATTTAATGAAGCAGATGTATATTCGAATGAAAACTTCAAAGCTATTGCATGGTTAGATAATGACGATTGCTTAAAGAAAATATTTAAATTCAGTGACTCAAAGATGTCAATAGATGACCTTCGTGGAATGTTACCATCGACGTTTACAGTAGAAGGTTCAGCAGGATTGCTTACAAGATTGTCAATTGGTGGCATTTGGTCTCGTGAGAACATTGTTATAAAATCCAGTATAAGTGAATTTGCTGAAGAATCTATATTATGTCTTTCAAACTACATGTATTCGCCGCCGAAGCATTATAGTATAACAAACTTTGTCAGTAAGTTTAACATAAGACTTGTCGAACCTTCTTCAATGAAAGATGTTGTGCTACCCAAAGACGGAAAGGATGGACTCATTATTGAAATGATTTTAATTGCATATTAAATGAGCTTGTTCTTGAAGGTCATTCATGATGAAATAACTGTTGTAGAAGATGTTAGCAATTGTTCAGACATTTTGAAGCGTATAGATGATATAAGAAATAAGTTAGATAGACCGCAAAGCGGTGAAGTCGAAGCCCGTGAGAACGTTTATGTTTCATTGACTTTCTCCAGTAACGAGAACTTTTATGAGATAATATTGAAGAGAGATGATTTTAATATGGTGTAAATGGTAGCTTGGGCAGCTATAGGCGCAATGGGAACAAAAGCATTAGCATTTGGAGCAAAAGCACTTGGAGCTTATGACGCAGTAAATAAAATGAGTGGAGGTAGGGTTTCGAAGACATTAGATGCAAATAAAGGAAAGATTGGAGGCTGGGTTACAAAGAAGTTAAGATTAAATAAAATAGGGCTCATAAATAAAGCATCCAATTTGGTTGCGACTGAGTCAGAAAATGCTTTAGGAAAGGACGATGAGTTTGCAAAACACGCAAAAGACTTTAATGACTAGATGAAAGGTGAAACAATGCATTTAAATAGAGTCGATGGAACTAAAGAAAATGTTTCTTCTCCACTAGTAGTTCTTCCGTATGGTCCCTATGGAATGTATGGAAACTCTTACGAAAGACCATTTGACCCATTGACTGGTGGAAGTAATTGGTATCATTACGGACGAAGAAGAAAGACAGTCAAGTTGGAGACGGACGTGAAGAAAGCAACTAAAAAGAAACCAAGGAAGAGAGTTATAAAGCAATGAATTCAACAGGGTAGAAATGAGGTTAGAAATGAGGTTAGATCTAACCTTCTACCCTAAATTTATTTTTGGGCTATGTTTTCATACATGTGAGGGTGGTGATATCATTAATTTTTAAGTTTATTTTTTTATTTTATTTTTTATTTTATTTTTATATAAATGACGAAAACTATTGAGATAACAAACTACAACGGTCATGAGTTCAAGAACTTGTTCTTCGTTCCTCGTGAAAATACATTCTATCAGATACGAGGGAGAAAGGGTAAAGTTAGTTTGAGCGTTTATGAAGGAATGAAGAATGGAAAGTTTATACAAGCATACGATACAAACGGTAAACGTGTTTCATTAGCTTTGTCAAAACTTACTAACATTTATTTTGACAGTGATTTTGACCTATATGAAGAAGAAAGTGAGTCAGAAGATTATGAGCTGTTATGTGAAGCACAGCAATGGGAGGAGTTGCAATACTTTTGTATAGTCATGTGATTTTATCCCAAGCATATGGGGATTCTAAATTTTTGTCCCTATCGTTATCCCAATTGAATTTTTTTTGGAATTTAAAAATTTTTTTTCTCCATGTAAACTTAAATTTTAATTTTTACCACTAAAATGCAATATTTCAACAAATTAATGAGTAATAATATTTTAATTTATAATAAATATTATAAATCTCCTCAATTTAATGTAATTATTGTATTAATTTTTGTTGAAAATATAAAATCTTCAAGTAAATGATGTGAATTTAATATTTTTAGAATGTTGTTTAATTGTACTATATTATGCATGTAAAATTTTGTTACAATACATTTTATATGGGATCCCCATTGCCCAATTGAGAGAAAATTGAGAGGTGGGATTGGGCTAGCCCAATTCAAAATATCCCAGGTGGAAATAAAAAAATTAACAATTCAACATAAAAAAGCATCTTAAATAATAATGATAAAAAGAAATTTTGTATGAATTTCAATCAAATTTGTTTTTATTCAACTTAAGAAATCACTTCATTAATGAAAGAAGTCGGGTTCACAACATATCCCGATCTTGAAACGAAACAACATGTTTACATGCGATATAAACATGAAGGTAGTCCCAAGTGGTATGTTAAATGCAATGAACTTGTGACACGATCTGATGGTGTAGTTTGCCGGTGTTCAATGCAAGAACAAAGGGAGGATCATTATAAAAACTGGCTTAAGACTCATGTTCACACATGCCAGGCCGGAGAAGCATTATCGCAGCAAACATTACTTGACTACTACAATAAAGGTAAACAGCCAAATGATCCAATGTTGGATTTATCGAATGTATACGATGAAATGACCATTTTTACCGGTAAGTTCAACCTTGCCTTAGACACATTTGCATCCCCAGAATTCACGCATGTTGCAAAGATTTTCATTATGTTCACAATATATCAAATGATGAACAAATACAAACAACTTCAGTCAGCTAATATCAATCCGGAAAAACTTGCTGACAAATTATATAAGCCTATTACACGTGATGAGATCCGAAATAGAATGATTGCTATTGCTAACAGCATACACCTTGCTAAAGTTCTCGAATTCGCCAAAAAAGCATACACTTGTGTCGCCATCGATGAAGGCAAGACACATGATTACCACAATCTTGATTTTGTCTTAACAAATCCGTTGGAGCAAATGAAGCCATACCCAGTAGAGGCGATAGATATGAAGGATGGCCAGACAAGTCAGGATTATAAATCCGCAATAACAGCAGGATTTAACAGAATTGACATTAGGAAAGTCAAGATAGGTAGTGTGGTAGTTGACGGAGGACCAGCACAGTTAAAATGCTTCAAAGATACTTGGAATGATTCATTCTATCATGACAGAGATCCAAAATACTACAAGATATTGCTTATTCCCTGTTTGTGTCACAGAATCCACAACAGCTATCAATATATTGCTGGCAAGAACAACCAGTTACAAAGTTTAGTAAAGGATGTGCACAGAATTGCAGAACTTTGTCGCATTCATGCTGACGATATAGGTGCACAATGTCCACAGCATGTATCCACCAGATGGATATATGACTATAATATATGTGTCTTTATTCTTAAGTACGAAAACAAAATCAAGCAATATATAAATGTAGATCACGATAAAATCGTACAATTGAAAGATTGTTTAGCTGTTCTTAAAAAGCTAATCTTAGTATTCGAATCGGATAAGGCATTGTTGGCAAATTGTTACATTTGGCTTCGTAAAGCCATATCAGCTCTCAATCTTTTGACATCCAATTTGCATAATGCATTCGGATCCATCTTGGCATCTTCATTGGATAGCTATACCTTGGACTCTGACTTTGGTGGGCTATGGTGTTTGGCATTCTCTCTCACGCCGAGAGGAAGGTTCTACTTCCATAGAAAGTTTGTTAAAAACGAAGAAGTAGAAGATTTGGCCGATCCCTTGAGTTCCTTTCAAAGTGAGCATATTCCTGATAAAGATCCGGCAGAAGATTTACAGGACATTTACATGGATTCTATTTTTGAGGAAGGTAACACAAACGCTGTAATTGATGTAACAGATGAAGGCACATTTCGTAGAATTGTCGAATCTGATGATCAACTTAGGCTTACATTGCAAGATGTACGCGAGGATAATCATCAGACTGCCGAAAATGATCTAACAGCAGCTAAAGATTACCTCAAGCGCATTTTGGTTCAATTCCGATTGAACGAAAGACAAAAAACGCTTGTACTCTCGTTATATAATACGTTCATCAATAAGGAATCAGACATCTTTGAGAACGATCTGATGGACGAGGCACAAAATTATGCTTGGGAAGAGATCTCGCATAGAATTGGAGAAAAATCCATCCTTGCGGAAATAGCATTACGCTTGTTATGTTCATCTCCTTCGGAGGCAACATGTGAACGTAATATCAAAGCACAAAGGTTAGTTTTGAACGTTAGGCGGTTAAGATCCAAGAAAAACTTGTTAAATAGCCGTCATATCTTAATGGCAACTAAATGAAATAAACATTTTGTTATTATTTATTTTTCAATATTAAATAGCCATTTTCTTCACAAATATTTCAATGTGTTTTTACAACAATTTAACATTCAATAATTTATAATGAATCGTTCTCTTTCATTAAACATTAATTAAAACCTCCGGTCATGAATATTTTTTTTGTTATTATTATTTTGTAATTTAAAATCTAATAATATATAAGAGTAATATTTATTATTTTACATTTTAATTCGTTATGATAATCTTTATATTTACAATTTATAAAGCACCGATCCACAGATAATATAGTTCAGTGGTAAGAGTCATAGTATAAGCCTTAAGTTCCCCAGTTCGACTTCAGGGCCTTTTCGCTTTTTTTCTTTTTAGATTTTTTTTCTGAAGTTTATTTTTAAGGTTCTCGCTGGCGACCCCCCGTTCACCAAAAAAATTTTCGATTTTTGCTGGCGACCCCCCTTCGCTCGATATTTTTTTTGTGAACGGGGGGAGGTCGCCAGCAAAAAAAAAGATGTCAAAATTTATCCCAAAAATTTAAAAAAAATCGAAGAAAGTGCATCCCAGGGATTATAAAATTTAAGTTTTCACATCTCTACTTTTGTAAGTGAGAACGTTTATTTTTTGCATTAGTGAGGTGAAGTGGTTGGTGGTTTTGTAAATATTTAAGGTTAAGTTAGTGTTGTCGTTTGTGTTGTAAAATATATGTTAACGGTTTTGTAAAGTGTCAAATTCACATATAATGGGTAAGGAGGCGCGCAGTGCCTCCGTACACTTGATATGTATACTAACTCCACAAACAGTGCGTTGAGTGTCTTCTGAACGACAAAGATGTCAATCCACAACTTCCTGATGATTCTAGTTTCACACCTCTTCACATCGCTGCATCTAATGATTTCTCAGACTTAATCTGTCTTTTCGCCGATCGAGATGACGTTGACTTGAACTGCGTCGACTCAATCCAGTGGACACCTCTCCATGTTGCCGCTAAATGCGGCTCAACTAGTTTCGTCGAAGAGTTGCTTCAACACGAAAATGTCGATGTCAACCGTCAGAACTTGATGAAGCGAACTCCTATTTTCAACGCTATTGAAAACGAAAAAATCGAAGTTGTCAAAGTTCTCCTTTCTCGTGAAGACCTCGATTTGAGTGTTGTTGACAGCGAAGGACACACAGCTAAAGATGTCGCACTCCAGACAAAGAACGAAGATATTATTAATCTTCTTTTAAATAAATGAGTTTTTTATTTTTTTTGTTTGTAAAAAAAATTATTTTTAATAATAAAAAACGATAATAATAAATCCTTGAAAAATTAACGCACTTGTCTAAAGGAAAATGATAAATGATGTTACGTATTGGAAGCATATTTATCCTGCTTTACAGAAATATGTTGAAAAGTGAGTAAAGTTATGAATAAACTGATCCTAGTGAATGATATTGTATTACACAGAAATTGAATGCGACATTTGAAATTGTTTGCAATAGCGAGAGAATAGATTATTGAATGACAAAAATGCATCTTGAGTGTCTTTACTTATACTTGTAATGACAAATGTTCTTAAGGGTGCATTTACGCGTATCTGACTTTAATTCAAATTTCTGACAAATGGCGTGAAGTGTCATTGAAAATTAACCTTAAACATCTGAATCGAAGGACATGTAATACAGGTGTAAGTGCACTCTTAAGAAAAATTTTCCACTTCAAGATAGCAATGATATAATAGAATTGAATAAGAAATCGTTAAATTTATTATCCAACATCTCCCCAAGATACAATGTCCAATCATTTGTAAACGAAGAATATTACAAAATATCATCGAAATAACAATAATTCTTTTTGCTATAGTTTTATTCTTTCTGTCATAGCAAATTTCTATTATAATATTGAACTCTTTATTGAAATATCAGTTTGTTAATACTTAGATGACTTACAAAGAAAATCTATTTCGAAATTAAGAGCCATGTTCCCGATATTATTGCATTACTATATCAGTACTAATTATTTAAATTCAC